CCATTATTATTAAAAAGTAGGATTGCTACCCGCCATTATTATTGAAAAGTAGGATTGCTACCCGCCATTATTTACACAGCTACCTTATGAAAGTAGTTTCACGTGTGTCTTAGATCCCTTTAGAAGGAAGATATCAGACAAAGCGACCTGCAATAAATGGGAAGAAGTCTTGGCTTAAATGTAGTATTCCTCTGACAGAGTACAATGTGAGTGGAGTTGGAGATGATGCCAGAGCGTGAGCTTGCCATTGCCGGGCTTTTACAAATGTCATCATCCCTTCGTATTGAGCGCTGTTGCAGGGTGCAGATACTGGCTAGTATTTTTTTAAATAAAGATTTTATTTTTAATAACCTAGCTATTAGTCATAACCTGTCTTAATTCACCTTCCCTAGAAGTAGAACCTGAGAAGGGATTTGGGTGCACGTGGTTTATTGAGTTTACACTCTTAAGAAACATCTCCAAAGAATGAGAAAAACAGAACAGAGAAGAGCTGGGCGGGAATGTAATCGCAGGTAAAATGCTGTCTTGTTCTGATTCAGAGGAATTATGTAAAATTTGTACTGGAGTATTATTCCAATCTGAGACAAGGCTTCTGGGCTTTTTGGCCCCTGCATCATTCAGTCATTGGATGTTTGGGGTGAGGGGCGTTGTCACTCCCCACGTGTCGGGTGAGGCAGCTCCCATCAGTCCCAGGTAATTCTTCCTAGATCAAGTGTGGAAACTGTTAGCTGCAGCACCTGCCATGGCAGGGAGATGGGTATCCAGCTGGCAAATGCGATCTGGGTGGAGTATCAGCAGCATCTGCTGCAGGCTTCCTTGAGTCTGCTACAGAGAGTCTGCTACAAGACAGAAACTCTGGCTAGTGTAGGCAAAAAGCAGAACTGGTTGGAAGGAATAGAGGGCTGACTGATCTGCGAGACAAAAGGACCACATCTGGACCATGAGCAGAAGACAAGGCAATCTTAGAGGACTAAGAGGACCGAGTCTCGGAAGACTGCCAATATAGTGAGGAGTTTTAAGCAATAATTGCCTGGCCAGGACAGCATTATGATTGGATGCCACTGGACGTCATCGCAGCCACTCTAAATGAATTCTCATCATCTCTCCAAAGCCAGCCCTTTGGGTAGAAACACCTGACTGGCCAAACGTAGAGCACACATTTATCACTAGCATGCTTGAAAGTGGAGAGAGGATGAGGCAGCTGCTTGTTTCTTGGAAGGAAGGAAGGCGTTGCAGCTCACCAATAACTCACATCATGCGATATTCTTCAGCCATTGGAAAAGGAGTTTGATGCTGAAGAACAAAACCTGAGAAAAGCCAGCGTATCTCCTGAAAAGCTGGCAAAATGAAGATTACTACCCTTATTTTACGATTATAAAAACTGAGACTCAGAGAAGTAATTTTATTCATTGATTCATTTTTTTTTTTTTTTTTTTTTTTGACGTGGAGTCTCTCACTGTCGCCCAGGCTGGAGTGCAGTGGCGTGATCTTGGCTCACTGCAACCTCCACCTCCCAGGTTCAAGCAATTCTCCTGCCTTAGCTTCCCAAGTAGCTGGGATTACAGGTTCCCACCACAATGCCTGGCTAATTTGTTGTGTTTTCAGTAGAGACGGGGTTTCACTATGTTGGCCAGGCTGGTCTCAAACTCCTGACCTCAGGTGATTCATCCACCTTGGCCTCCCAAAATGCTGGGATTACAAGCGTGAGCCACCATGCCTGGCCTGCAGTGTACATTTCTATGTGATATGTGTAGGGTGAGAGGGTGTTGAGACAAAAAATAATAGGTAAATAAAACACATAGTATATCAGACGGTGACAAATATTAGAAAGAAAAAATAAATCAGGGAAGGTGAGTGAGTTGGGTGTGGTGGCTATATTATGGAGATGTTTCCGTTTTAAGTAGGACAGTCAAAGTAGTTCCTGCTAAAACAGTGACATTTGAGCAAAGACCTGAAGGAAGTAAGGGAATGAGCTATGTGACTGTCTGTGAAAATGTCCTGGGCAGAGCGAACAGCAGGTGCAAGATGCCCTGAGGCCTGCATGCAACTGGCAAGCTCAGGGACCCATGTGGAGGCTAATACGGTTAGGGGAGAGGGAACCAGGGAGAGCAGCAGAAGGAAAAACCAGGAGGTGGCTGGGGCTGGACCATGGGGGTCTTGGAGCCCATAAAATGTTTTGAGGAGGGGATTGACATTATTGGAATTACACTTCAGAGGGTAGAAGGACGGACAGAAGCAGAAAAACTGGTTAGGAAGTTTCTGCAATAAATTAAGTAAGGGGTAATAGAGTCTGGGATTAGGGTGGCAGCTGTGGAGGTACTGAAAAATAGTATTGTTGCTACGTTGCAGGCTGAAGAATGGCCCCTAACATGTCTGTGTCCTAATTCCTGAAACTTGATAAGGCAGAGACTTTGCAGATGTGGTTAAAGATCTTGAGATGGGGAGATTGTTCTGGATTATCCATGTGGTCCCAACATAATCATAAGGGTCCTTATAAGAAAAAAACAAGCAGAGTTAGAAACAGAGAAGGTGATTATTCATAGAAGCCAGGTATGGAAGTGGCAAGGGTCAAGGATATGGCCACAGTGAAAGCGTTCATTGATAGATAAATGGATAGAGAAAATGGAATGTTATCGAGTCTTAAAAAAGAATAAAATCCTGTCATTTGTAACAACGTAGATGAACACAGAGGACATTATGCTAAGTGGAAGAAGCCTTGCACAGAAAGACAAATACTGCCTGATCTCATTTATGTGTAAAATCTTAAAAAAATTGAACTAGAAGAAGCAGAGTGTAGACTTTGGTTAGCAGGGGTTGGGGGGTGAGGGAAATGGGGAGATATTGGTCAGAGTACAATGTTTTAGTATTGCAGGACGAATAAATTCGGAGATCTCATGTACTGCATGGTGACTATAGTTAATAATACTGTATTGTATACTTGAAATTAGCTAAGAGAGTAGATGTTAAATAGTCTTATCACAAAACAAAAAGTAACTATGAGAAGTGATGATATGTTAATTAGCTTTATTGTGGTAATCATTTCACATAGCATACCTATATGAAAACATCACACTGTACACCTTAAATACATACAATGTTTGTTTATCAATTGTAACTCAACAAAGCTGGAAAGGAAAAAGAAAGAGAGAAGGTGATGTGAAGATGGAAGAAACAGAGACAGAAAAGGTGCTATGCTTGCTTCTGGCTTTGATGACTGAAGAAGGAGCCAGGAGCCAAAGAATGTAGTCAGCTTCTAGAAGCCAAAAAAATCAAAGAAAAAGTTTTTTTCTTAGACCCTCTAGAAGGAACACAGCCCTACAGATGCCCGACCTCC